CCAGTACTGGAAAATAAATCTACTACTTAATATTTTTATCATTTTGATTCTAGGATTTCACATAAGTTGTGGAGCGGCTTTCTTCCCCCCTGAGCTTAAACATTGCTCATGTGGCTCAGCAGCACCTGCCTAATTGGCTTTTGAGTAAAGTAGTCCCTTATCAAGTTATTTTAATCCTGTTGATCAAGCATGTGCGATTCCACACGCACTACAATGTGCCTGCAAAAAGAAAAATCTCTCAATTGGTGGTTTATGATCGCTCTCGCATCCTCAATTCTAGGGTTCCTAGAACGAGCAGAGGGCGCAGAGCCCCAAGACGTTTTTGGCCAGCCTGACTTGTGCCACTCTCCATCCAGCACCAAATGAAGGCTCAGTTAAAATATCATGTTTTAAAAATGCCCCATATTAACCTACAGATTTGTGGAGTCTCATAACCATGTAGAAGTGCATGGTTTTGTCTCTGTGGTAGGTACAAAACACCAAGACTAGTAAAGACTGCTCAGACCCTCAAATAGTCCCCCTCTGGGTGCAGGTGCAAGTCCTCTCGTACGGCCCTCCATGGAAGCTCTGGGTATGAGGCCTTTCAGCCGAGCTGAGGTCTTGATGTTACCTGCTTTTTAAGCAGTTGCTAATAAGCCATGGCAGAGCAGAAGAAACAAAACACCCAGAGTCATTAAAGCTCGATACAAGCCCCAATCGCCCTGTTCGGAGACTACGACAGCTTTAAACTTTGTTTGTTGTCTAGCGGTTCTATCACGCACAAAACTGAATAGGCCCCACATCTGGATAACAGCAGGTTGGGTTCAGCATCTTCAGTCAGCGAAGAATAGAACATGCCACACAATGGTAAGAGCTGGAAGAAAACCAGGCTTGTATGTGATTTTTGAATCTATAAATCAGTTTTCAGAAGCTCCTTTCAGAGAACAATGGAACATTTAATACCCAGTGCTCTATATCACACCTGCACTCTGGCCTCCTTGGTTTTCTGAGCACAGGTCTGGGAAAAAAAAAAGTCTACCATTAATGACCCCAGCAGAATTTATTTGCATAAAGCAGCTTCTTTTCCTAGCTCAGACTAATCCTTTGATGCAACTGGGAAAAGCAGAGTAAAATCATATTGTACAAAAGAATCGTTTTAGTCCTTAAGAAACGTTAATTGCCTACTATCACATTCAAACCTTCTTTCAGGATTTCCCCATCATGCTCTAACAGGTTAATTATTTTGTACAAGAATGAAATGAATATTTAACTACAGAGATAATTAGCTGTCTATATTCTCCTTAAATCTACACCTTTATTGTTCTTCCAGTGAATGCAGCATGCAGAGCACGATCCAAGACATTAGATATTCTGAAGCGTGTACCTCTTACAGTCTAATTTTATATGGATCTGCAACTTGGAGCAGCAAAAATAAACACTTCAGAACACAGACTATTCCTGCACCTTGCAGGAATATTGTTTATAACAAGCACCCCATAAGCTGTGCATGCACGAACCTGCATGCATGCAGTACCGAGCAGAAAAAAAAAAAATATATATATATAAAAAAAAAAGAGACCACCACTGTATTTCCCCACCAGTAGGAAAACACCAGCTGTGTTAGAGAATGCCAAGTTATACTGTGTTCCCCATGCCTAACTGTAATGAACCCATCCAAGGAGTTCAAAACCATCCCTCTAAGCTTTTCAGTATTTACACAAAAGCTGAAGCCCGGTAAATAAGCACAGACCTGGAAGCACCAGCCCCTGGAGACCTAACCCCAGCTCAGCCCCTGAAGTGACACGTGACAGCCAGCAAGACCCTTCATGTCCTCGCGCCTCCTGCAAAGCAGGGATAATGTGGACCCGTTGTAAAGATCAGTGATTATAAAGAGAAGTGCCTGCACAGAGCAGCAGCATTTGCTGTCAGCTATTCCTATGTAGGGCAGTAAAATGCTCCCTTCCGCCATTTGGTCCACACTGGTGAAGTGAGCCATACAGGCCTTCCACACGAGCAGCCAGTCTCGGATGGGTCTGCCTCCAGCCCAGCTTGGCTGGAAGAACAATTTGGCCAAATCAGAGATACACCAACAGACGCTGCACACAAAACGGACGGACGGGGAAGTCAAGAAGAGAGACCGGGAAGCTGAGTAAAAGGAGAGAAGTACGTAAGCTCCTAACTTGCACGGAGGGAGAAATTGTTTCTTGGTGATGTTTTAGCATTTTTCGCAGACAGCTGCGATGCTCTAAGCACACGCTGGCCTGTAGCTGTGTGCAACCTCAGGCAAGTCTTCTGGGCTACGTCTAGGGAATCAGCTACCACCATAAGCTCTATCCAAATTTCCAATCTCCTACAGCAAATGTCCCCTAATGCTTTGCCTTCTACAGAGCTCAAACCTCTCTGAAAACATCAAGCTTCACAAACAGCCCCTCCACACAGCATAGGTAATAATGAATAGGAGGTTTTGGTTGCACGAGTTTCTTTCTACATGTAGGCATGCTATTTAAGGCAAAAATGATTACTTCCGGATATCTTCCTGGATTTGAAAGACAAAAGAGAAGAAGATTTCCATTTGAAGGCCACTTGCAAATACATTTGTGTTTGTATGTTAAGAAAATTAACTTTTGCCCGATTGGGCCTTTTAAAATATATTATTTAAAGAAAGACCTCAACTTTTGAAAAGGAATAAAAAAAAGAAAGGTAAGGAAAAGACATAATGGACTTACGGAGGGGGTGGGTGGGTCTCAGGAGAGGTAGGCTGTAGTGTCTCACATCTAAGTTGAAGGGGTGAAGATAGTGAATGTTTAAGAAGCTCTCCCTAAGGTAAAGAGGAATTAATAGAAAAAATAAAACAGCAAGTACTCCCAGTAGAAATCTCCCCCCTTCACTTGTTCAGCTTTCACAGTCTTGGCTGTCATGACATCACCTTAATAGAATGAGAGTTGAATTACTGAATGTCTATTATTATTATAATTATTGAAGGTCTATTATTGAATGTCCCTAAATAAACAGGACTTGAACTTTTAAATTGGAGGGAGGGGGAGAATCCACTGAACAGTTTAAAATAAAAAGGTCACTTCTATACTTTATAAAGGAGTTAAAGGTCACAAGTCTCTGCCCCACCCTCCTTGCCTGGCAGGTTCTCACTCCAACATCTCCCTCTGCCTGAAGCCCAGGAGCCCTGTTTGCTCAGGGCTTGCAGAACAGCTCTGCAAAAATCATAAAATATTTAAAGACCTCTTGAAGAGTAAACGACAGTTAAAAAAAAACCCACCCACACACCAGTCCACTCCCTTTGAAACAAGGCTTGGGCTGCAAACCGATAACTACAGCGCCTCAAGCAGATGCTAGCACTGCAATACATTGGCGATGCACGAGAAATTAGCTGAAAGTCTTCTGCATTACCTCTCAGTAGCTGGGGTTTCAAAGTCAGAGTTAGGTATGCACTTTTTTACTAGTCTAGAAAATAAAAATAAATGAAATGCGATGGCTTTCAAATGGCACGAATACAAGAGAGGACAAGAAGCTATTACTGCCACAAATGCTATTTAATCATCACAAATACTATGCAAGTAATTCGTGCAGTAATTCATGCCTAGCTCTTTATACCGGCAAAGTTGCCTGAAACAAGCCATTGGCATGAATGAGCCATGTGTGTCAATCCTGTCCGAACCCCTCCCCACGCATAACCAGTAGTTTCTGCTGAACTAGAGCAAAAAGCCAGGATTCAGGTATACGAGCAGAACTGAAAGAAGAGCGACCACAGTCCTTTACTTCCACAAAATCTGAAACAAACCCCTGGGGACCTTACGCGGCTGCAGGGGCCCCTTCCTCTCACTCCCGCCCCTACTAAATGACTGTCTGGCTGAGAAGTGTCCATCTCAACTGAAATGTGGATAAAACAGAAGTGTCAGCAGAAGAGGTCAGCCTTGATTTTTTTGTTTTGAAATGCAAGTTAAAGTGGGGGGGGTTGAGCTTTGCCAGAAGACACGTTTCAGTAAAGTGGGTATTTTCAGGTGAAAATTTCAAACAAATATAAAACTTTTCATTGAAATTTTCAGCTGAAAAACATAATGTTGCCTGCCTACCACTTGAAATTACTAAGGCCTCTGTTAAGACCTGCATCAGCAAATGTTCAGTAGTTACTCCCCCCCCCCGCCCAGCTGTCCAATATTAACTATATTACCAAAGATAGTTCAGTAGGAAACCAAAAAAGCACCGAAGCTGAACTGTCTGGCTTTTAATCTACTTGGTGTGAAGAGAAGCAAGCTCCAGGGCCTAGTAATCTTTCCAATGGGACCTGTTCCTAAACTAGACCTTTAAGAGGTGAAAAAGTGCAATATTAGCTCCAATAATCAGGTATTAAAGAGCCAAAACACAACAAGAGACCTCTTACTTCACCTGCAGAAGGGCTGCCTCCCATTGCTGCACTAGACTTCTCTCCTCCTACTCATCTACTCCTAAATTTAAAAGATAAATCCAACTGTACACTGGACTGTCTAGTTCAGGCCCTCAACTGATGCTTGAAAAATATTTCCTTAATGTCACTGGTGTTTAAGAGTCAAATATCACAACAGAACATGCAGCCTTGTCTCAGTTTATTGTGACGCTAGCTTAACGGCCTATGCCAAGGCTGATGCTAGAAGTTTATTCATCTGTAGCATCATAATGCATTTCCCCAGGCAGGGCTTCGTAGCAGCGTTCTTCTTCAAAGAAAAAGCAGGTGATGTCCACAACAGCATAAAATCTCTAGACGTACAATGACGCGTGTCTCACCTCCAAGGACAAGGAGAAAAGTTAAGAAAAATAACACGCGATCCTAACATCTTCTTTACACTGCACTGCACCTGCTTGGAACACAACGACTAAACTGACTAAACATACTGGGATATTAATATTCAGAAAGAAATGAGGCAGAACTTTTCATTTTCATAGTCTTAGTTCACTAACTTTGCACACTTTGTTTAAAATCCTTATTAACAGGCAGACCAAAAGAAAGAGACATTAGTCACTGATGCCAAAATTAACATGCGATGCGAGGCAGCCAGCTCATTGTAAAAACATTTAAAGGAGCTTTTAATAACTGCATAAGCAAGTCGGCTTATTAGCGAGCACTGCTGCCAGTCACAGGAGATCACAACTGCAATCCAAGTAGCTTAGTGCCATGTGATTATCTGGTATTCAGGAACCAGCGAGCAGAGGTCTCCAAGCCACTCGCGAGCAGCTTGATGCCCACTAAACTTTTCTGACATGACTGACAGGCACAGGAAACTCTCTTCTCCATTAACAGGGAAATGGAGAGGATAAGCGCAGGGCTGCTTGCAACATGTGACTTGCTCGCTACGATGGACCAAAGGTGGCTATGAAGGAAAAAAATGTGCAAATGTAAGGAGATGCACGTGTACAGCCTGATGCCAGATGCGTGCACGGCACTGCCAGAACAGGTGTGCGTTATGTTCCCTAAGGAAAAGCCCTGAAAGACTTACAGATGTTCTGCTTACTTTCTGTCTCGGCTTTCCTCTCGTTTACAACTAAGAGGATCGCAGAAGGTCCCTCATCCGGCTGCCTGGTCTGGTTTGGACCTTGTCCCTGACATTTACAAATAGCTAATTATTTTTAAAAAAGGGAGACAGAGCCTGTGAAGGGGTCACCTCCTGCCAGGAAGGGGAAGAGCTGACTCTTCTTCATCTCTGCACATCTACAAGCCTTCGAGATAGCAGCAGCAGCCTAGCAGAGGAGGGGGTGCGAGCAAGCACTTGGGGAGCAGTTCTTTCCACTTCACCTGGAAACAGGGCTAATCACAGCCCCTCAATATAAGACTTGCAGAACAAAGCCTCTTTCTTCACATACTACCACCCCCAAGGACTCGTCCACGTGGACTTGCCGGTCCACACCAGCTCTTCACGTGGGTCTGTTCATTTTGCATCCAGAGGGGCTATTTCCGGTCACTCTGGAAGTGAATGAATCTACATGGCAAAGAGGAGCGGGGCGCAGGACACAAGCTAAGCCCGCAGGGGGTTCAGGCAGAACGGCTCCCGCACTGCCCCAGGCGATTTCTCAGCAGACTCCTGTAGACAAACCCCTCTGAGAGCAAGCAGGGGGAGGGCCAAGCTAGGACCAGCTGCTGGACTCGGCCCCACCGCTGGGGCACCTAGGCCGGGTTCATACCCCTCCCCTCTCCTTGGAGGAAATCCTGGCTAAACCCTGCCGTGTTTATGTTGTGCCCGTTCCCCTCCTCACAGTCCTGCCTGCTCCCTGCTTCCACCATCCCCAGATGCCTGCTGCCTCATGCCCACTTGCTCATTCTCTGTACTACAGTAGCACCTAGAGGCCCCGACGGGGACTGGGGCTCGGCCCGCGGGAATTACGCAGACCCACCGCGGACCAGGCAGCACAGGGGGGAGAGCCTGCGAGGGCAGGGAGGGGTGGGGGGAGATGCAGGCGTAGCCTGGGGTGGAAGCAGGAGGCACCGGCCACGCTGGGAGCCCACTCGCCCCTCAAGCCCCAGCTTTCTACCCCCCCACCCTG